TCCCTTAAAATCTCCTTCAACTTTTGCCCATTTTTTTTTTTTTTTTTTTTTTCTCTAGAGATGCACATTTCACCTGGAAAAAGGGATGTGTTTAATTTGAGTGAAACTCAAGGTGAAATCCTAGCAAAAACATGGCAGCAGCTTCTATCTTTCACACAAGGGAGGAGTCAAGCTGGAGATATTCATCCAATTAACAGCAATTTTGAATGAACTTGCTAAGCACCCGTGGGAAGAACCCTACTGGTGTGGGGAAGAAATGGACATTTTAGCAACATAAACACAAGCTGAAGGTGTAAGAACCAACTGAAGTTCTACCTTCGCCTACCACACACCTGAAGTGATTGAAACGTATTTGCAATTGAAACCATGGTACACAATCAACACATTTTGATACTGCTAGATGCAGCAGAGCAGTTCAGGGCTCAAAGAGGGTCTGCCTCAGATTGCAAATAAAGCAGCTGCAGTAGTGATGAGGCTAGAGGTTGCACTGCAGCTTTTTGGGAGTGGCACCTATAATTCTGATTAAACAGAGGTAAACTAATCAATTCAATTAATCTAAAATATTGCCTATTCAATGCTGCAGGCAAAGAGATTCCACCTCCTCTACCTTCAGACAGGTGCTGTCAAGAAGATGACGTTAATATGAAACTGATGAAACAAGAAGAGGAACCACTAAGAAAATTTAACAAAATCTTTTATGTTTATTGGCAGCATGTGGTAAGACTGCTACAGGTAACAGATGGAGAACACATTTCTGCCTCTCCCACCACCTACCAGCTCAACCCACATAAGCAATGAAGCATGAGACCCTCCAGTTTTCAGTATGGTGGAATACAATTGAATACAATTTTGCTGCGTACATGTCCAGCTAAGCACGTGCCCTGCTTGGCAAAAACTGTTATTCCCCAACAAGCCAAGGCATCATAAAAATTACATACTAAAAGGGTTGTTACTCTTGAAGACAAGTAGTATATCTACACTCTGTCTGACAGAGCTTTGCCTGCTGTGATATTAAGGCTTTCTACCACAGAAGTCTATAATCTCAACTAGATCGCTAGTGCTTTATTAGCCTAATGCTTCATTTAGAGTGAACATAAGTTACGCTGAAGAGTTTATATCCAGTCTTAGCTCCACCAGTCAACATGCAACCAATCATTGTCATCTTTAACCTTTAACAAGGAAAGCTTAAGTTTTGCTTTTGATGCTTCCTTTCTAAATGAAGCATGTTATTCTTGCCTGGATTAATTTCACTTAGCTTGATTTTGGACCTTTAGAATATATATCAAGAGCATTATGGTCTTTGGCTCTCTTCTCTGCAGTGTTTACATAATGTCCCATAGGGCATCATCTGTAAGTTTTTTTTGTTGATTCATTTTTATTTAATATTTATTTATTTCTATGTCCCATGCCATATAAGTCAGGCATAGCAATATTGACCAGAACACATCTCCATACTCCTTTAAGTCTAGACTTGAAGTGTCCTTCCAGATTGAGAGCACAGATAACTACTCCAAGTTCCATGAACCACAAAGCGATTCCATTTACACTGTGTGTCTTCAGCTTGCTTTGAGAAAGCCTCCAAGACAGCATTCAAAACCTTACTACAGCTAAGATATACACATGAATCCCTTCACTCTTACACTCAGTGAATTATCTTTTAGAGAAACAAATTAGATTTACCACTGTATTTTAAATAATTCAGGTTGTCTTTTATCGCTTTTATCTTCTGCACACTTACACACTAACTGATTTGTAGTTTGTTCCAGTACCTTATACCTAGGAAAGCAATGTTTGTGGTTACTTAATATTCCTTCCACTCACCTACAATGGTGACACTTACGGTCAAGTTGTTTTGACTTTGTCCTCCCTACCACAAAATCCTATAGATTTTGAGAACTTCTGAAGCAGTAATTCAAAACAGTATTAGTGAGTTTCTGGAACACTTTAGAGCAAGTGTCCTCAGACCTTACCAGCTTAAATATTCCTTTCCCATTTCAGCCTGTGTTCCTCTCTCCATTGTACAACTAAGTCATGTATCTGGTCACAACTGACCTTTCCTGTAAAAGCAGTGTTAATTGTTTTAGCCCTCTGTTATTTGATCTCCTTTCCTGCTCAGTAATGGACTTCTACCTTCCTTTGCTGCTATCTTCTCATACTCTTAATGAATCTTCTCTTTTTGCCTTCTATTTCTCTCTAGTTGTGAGTCGATTTCTTCCTTAACCTTTCCAGTTTAGCACTAGTGGATTATATACTTACGCTCAGTTGTGTAGCTACGTTTCCACTTTCTGCTTTATTCTTTTTAGATCCTCAGGTACTTACAACCTGTTGCAATTGTACTTGTTTCATACCATGCTTCCTCTCCTCCAACTTCAATTGTCTCACACTGTCATCAGAAATTGAATTTCACCCAACCTTAACTGAACAGGCAAAACTGCAGAAAACTCTTAACCTGCTTTACCTAGTACCACAATAAGGTTTCTCTCCACCCCAAATACATAATTGTTTCTTCATTATACATATGAACACCTAAATGATTTTAAGTCTGTGCATTTACCCAGTTCATCCCAGAGCTGCCTATACTTGTCAGTCATTGCAGTTCCTTGTTGTCTCCAAAGTGACAGACGAGGGTCAGCCATGAACTGTTCTGTTATCAACGTCAACATGCGAGCTCCATTTGAATCTCTCATCTTTAGCATCTCTCGCACCTAGGAAATGAGTCTTTTAATACAAACTTGAAAAAACAAAGAAATCACAGTACAGACAGTATGCTGCAGTGTTAAATATTCCACCTCTGTTAAATAAGAAATGTAATTTATATATGTGATGTGAAATTTTTAAGTAGAAAAAGTAGTCTGCCTTCCCAGTTTTAACAATTTTTGGTTTCAGTATCCCATTGCAATTCCTCAAAGACACTTCTTCCACACGTAATCCACAGGTGTATTATGCAAATTGCTGCAAGATGTATTTCTACAGGTTTCTCCAACATTTTGGGGGTGGGAAGGAAGAGAACAGCAAAGCTGCAAATGATTGAAATGTTACTTCATATCCTTAAACAGATCTCAAGACACATCAGACTGTGGTCCATTGCTGCACAACTCATTATTAAGTTGCCACTATGTTCCCAAGGCTTTGTCTTGTTTTAGAATGAGACATTGAGTAAGACACAAACAAGTACAGACTGGCTTGGGGACTAGGGGAGTGAAAAAAGGGAAGGTTCAGAGTACTCAACACACCTTTGCAAAAAGCAAATTGAGTTGCTTCCCTGATCCATGGTATCCACCCTGGGAGAGGAAGAGTTTAACCTGTTCCTGGACCTGTTCCTCATCCAAATGCCAGCAGTTTTCATCATCTATGCTAGCACCTGCTGTTGGGTCAGGAGCACCTGCAAACAGCAAGAAAAGAAATCATTATGTTCTATATAAAGAAGAAAGGTTCATGGGTCCAGGGGAAAGGACTACTGCAAGGTTTTTGGATTTGTGTTTTGTGCTGTTTTGGATGTCTTGGCTTTAATCTAAACATTCTTTTAAATAGAGTTAAATTTCTCCTCAGTAGTCTTAAGCACTTAGAAATTACAGCCTGTGAAAAGTAATTTAAATAAACAATATTTTATAACAAAACATTAAGGTAAGGTTTTTTCTTCCTATCTCAGCAGCTACACTAGAATGCTTTTACAAGGAAAATTAGACTTTGCATAGTATTTCTATTAACTATGATGTTAAAACCACTCTCCCCAAAACATCTGTGTTATTCCTGTACCTTCAGCAATCTTGCTCAGGTTTAAGTGACTGCTAGTGAGCACTGCTATCGATGAACATGAATATCACCACCTCGGTGCCACTGAGCTGTGATGGCTCTGCAAAGCTAAACAAAGAGTAAAAAAAAATCCCCAAACAAATCCAAAGTCTCAAAGCACTAAAGGCATTTCCATCATAAGTAAGAGTTACAGCTGTTTAAGACTGTGGTGATTCCAAAGGAGCATTTTTACAAAGACAATGTAATCAGCACAGAGTTAATTCAGAGCAACTCTACTTGAATTAGCCTAGTGTGAACGGACATGACTAGATTTACATCAGACAGTGCTTTGGCCACAGGCTGCTCTAACTCAAATTCTGCAGTTGAGATCAGTGATTTTCCACTGGTGGCCTCTTCTAAAGGCTAACAAAATTAACTAAAACAAGTTCTTGCATCATCTAGCAATCTGTATTTTTCTGAAGAAGCCTGCACTTCCACTGGATATTTTTTAAAAGGTATTCAAACTGAAAAGGCTGAAAAGCATTTCTCTAGGCTGTCCAGGAAACAACTCAAGGCAGTGCATCACCATACCAGATATAAGGTATTTTAAGCAAGCCCAAGGCTCAAGTTAACTTGACACTTCGATTTTGGGCTTGTCACAACTGTGTAATCTCCATCTCAGTTAGATTTTGAGAAGATGTTAGAAATTGAATCACGTTACACAATCTATCACTTAAATCCGAGTCCATGTTACCTCTGTAACAAAAAAAAAAAAAAAACACCCAAAAAAAAAACCACCAACAAAACACAAGGATACTGGTGGGGAAGGAAAATTACATAGTCAGATTGGTAAAAACTTGCTTTTTCAAAGAAGTCCTGTGAACTTGAAAAGCAAAGACAGCTACAACTCTTCAGGGGTATAGGAATTAAACATTGATTCCATTGATTCGAGCTTTCATTTCACAATTGCAGCTCTGCCATGTAGGTAAAGCTTTTAAGCAGTTGCAGGGAATGCTGGAATCTTTATTCAATGGAAATACAACCGGAAGATTTAAAGCAGAGGGATGTCTTGTCTACTGGTTGCTAAGAGTAAAAAAAAAAAAAAAAAATCTTCCAGCTCAGCAACTTCCTAAACTGCCTCCAACTTCAGAGCCTACATCTGGGAACGATACAATGGTGTGTATATAAGTGTGTTTGTGTGTGTATGTATATATTTAGCCTAGTAAGAAATTGTGTCTTTGAAGATGTGAATGAACTGTCCTGCCTTCTGCAGGAACCATAACAGTGTCTCAGAAGACAGGAATCAAGCCCAAGACAGTACAAAAACCAAGGAATGAAAAACCTCCTCTTCTGTGAGTGCTTCCATCTTTAGTATGTTAGTTTTAAGGGGCTTTCAATTCAGTCAGCTACATGAAACACATACTGATAAGTCTTCAGTTGCAAAGAAAGAGATAAAAAGGGAAATGAAGCCACGTGAGAACAAGCAGTGCAGCTGTCACACAGACCCAGGTTTGCAGTATCACCTTGCAAATAGTTTAAATATTTCATTGTTCAAACACAGAGAAAAGACCTGTGAAAAGGAACTATATAAGAGCACCAATATACAAAATACACTTATATTTATCCCTCACTTCAATGGAGATTTATCTTTAAATAATCTTGGTATGGCTACTTTTAAATTGAACTAAAAATAGCCTAAGATTCCTCAGCTAAGCTTCCCTATTTAGGGAAAAAACCAAAATTCCTTCCGTAACTGTTTACATTTTATCAAAAGCTCATCAGTCAGTTTGTGCTAGAAGGTTAAATTTCAACACAGCTACTGCAGATTCTTTAACAACAGGGTTCCTTTACGAGAACAAGGGCATCTGCTGCCCCAGGCCAGCAGCACTGCCCCCACCCAGGCTTCGTCTCCCAGCAAGATCCCAAATATACCTTCCCCAGGGGCTCAGCATCACTATACTTACACCAGGATTATTTTCATGCCAGCAGGCTAGAAGACTGTAAAAGCTGAAGACAACAAGCCAAGGGTCTGAGCTCTATGATGCTGTTCAGCGTGGTACTACAGATATGTTTGACTCAGAGCAATGTTCCCTTACAAGATCTTACATAGGCTACACTCAGTATTATCAAAATTTTTAATCAGGCTGTATAAAGAAATTTCAGTATACATGTAACTGGCACCAGCTACAGTTGTAATTCATTGATCTTTCAACACCGTTGGCAGTCCCCAGCAATAGCATGGACTAACAAGGCATGGAGACAGCGTGTCTGATCGGACATAAGTCCAAACCACCTTCCCCCCACGGCAGCAGCCAGACATCGTAGCGGTGCTGCTGGGGAAGCCTCAGCTTCCATTGCCTACATCACTTTTGTTTTGGGGTCGAGACACAACCATCTCCACATCTCTCATCCAGGCACTTTTCAAGATCACTACATTCACTTAGTCAGGCAAACACTGATTGATCTAGCCTGTTACCTCTCCCACTCAAACACAGATCACTCTTGGGCAACGGACAGGATTTCTACACTGCCACTTTTCTTCTGAAGACATGGGACCAGGTGAGCAGACAAACTATCTGAATGAGCAACAGGAGGGAGCTGCCTTAGGAGCTGTGAGATGAAGCCCCAGCAATAGCCAGCAGGAAGGCTCAGGCTCAACAGCAGGCACAGCTGAAGGTTCAGCCCAAAGGTGGTGGCTTGGCTCAGGGTGCAGCGCGGACCCTGAACAGGCACCGTGAGGCTTCAGCACATGGACAGTTTGGCTACAGAGAGGAACGTCGGCAGCCCTAAATTTAATCTCTGCAGCGCAGTTTGGTACCAAGGCCAAATCCCGTTCCCCACTTGTAAACTTGGGGTAAGTATTACTTACGTGCTTTAGAAGGGTGTCATGAGGATAAATTAGTTCACATTTGAACTATGAAAGTGAAAAGCACTGTATAATTATACTAAATATTAAAACCTGTAATTAAACTGTGTCAGTTTATAGACAGTAACATATTAATCTCTCTCCAACCTCTGGCTTTTTTAACTTCTGTCATGACTGGTCTTTGAAATAGGTTTTACATCATGTACTTACAGTTAAAGACAATAAATAAAGTATTTATACTCAGTATATAGATACGGCCATACATACTTACTCATGCTCTTTTACTAAAACTACTAAATTGCAATCTAAGCAATCAAAGCAGGAATACTTGTGCACAATTGTTTGTAACACTGAACGCCAAAACAAAATTTGAGAACAGGGTTGCAGCCTTTTATATTTATGGTCTTAGCAGGTTACATGTTAAATATAATCAACGCCAAAGTTTAAGAAGCAGCAGCATTTTAAAAAAATAAACACTTCGATCATTTACCAGAAATTTTAAGAGCAACTGCTTTCAATATGAGCAACCACGTTTAAAAACTGGTGTTGTATACGGAGTACTTAACATCAAAAAATAAGTAGAAGCAAAGCAAGGAGCATTGACTAAAATAAGCTAAGAATTGCCTATATTGCAAACTACTCAGGTGCAGATCAACAGTTAAATTTAGTTAAAGCAACAGAAAGTAGTCTTTAAGGCAAACTACTTCCCTGATCCTTTCTGAAGTACCATAGGAGTTATCTTCAAATGAAACCATGCCAAGTTACTCACTCATAGCCATACTGAAACTTTTTTGAACTTCATTTTTATAAAAATCTTATTAAGTATACAAAAATGAACTATAGATCAGCTAAATTCTATTAAATGTCATCCCACAGCAGCATTAAGGAGAAGACATGGAAAAATGGTTACAAATAAAAAGCATGACTTACTGAGTACTATGCAAAGACTGAATGGTCCCAGCTAGAAACCAGTACTTCTGTATGCTGATTCACAACAGAATAGTAATTGATTTTATAAACTGAGTGTGCTCAGAATTATTCTAAACAGTAATTACATAAAACAAAGATCATAAAATTAATGATTCAAAAATACCATTATGCCTTTGATTCCCCAAATGATTCAAAGTTTAGACATAAGTCACTTCATCTTGTACTTAATTTCAGAACTCTCGGGTGGAATATAACACTGTTCAGCAGCACACAGCGTCAAAGAAAAACAGCAACTGCTGTGAAGCAGCCAGTGCTAACAACAGAAAATAGAAAGACAGGACAGGCCATGCTAAGTTGCTGAGGAAAGTTAATAAAGCCCCAACAGGTTTTTAACTTCCAAAAAATTCTTTCCCTTCCATCTGCACGTACAGCAAAATGCATAAACTTAACTGCTGACAATATCTAACCTCTTCTGCTAAAATCCAGGTCTCACAAACATTATATAGCAATAAGTTTCAAAGTCTACTTGTGTGTGGCAGATAAAAAAAACTTTCTTATCAGTACAGACTAGCATGCATTATTTTCATTTATTTTTACCTTCCATGTCTCAAAACAAAATCTCACTATATTCTATATAACAAGTTTTATTTTAATGTTTAATGTATCTAAAAAAACCTTCCCTAAAAATATCAATTCCAGAAATTATTTTTTCGTGTTATTTTGTAGCTATCAATCTTTCATTTTATTTTACATTGTACCACCTATTTAACTCCATTTGGGTTTTGAAATTTCTCTAGTTTTGGCTATTCTTGTTGTTCCTTCCTTCCCAAATCTGGTTCACTAAACAATTCGCA